ATCAGCACAAAGAAACTTCTTATACAAAACATATTCATTCCCACCCTATAATATCAGTGCCTGACATGGTCACTCACAATAAAAGATAAACACAATTAGTAACCAAAGAAATGAGGTGTCTAAGAAAGACTGTAGGAGTGACCAGATGAGACAAAAATCAGGAATGATGTCATACGAGATAAAGTCGGTACAGAACCAATTCGAAATTACATACAAAGACAGCAAATCAAATGATTTGCCCACTTGGAGAGAATGCCTTCTGTGTTATACAATACAAGATATATATCAAAAGACTAGGGTGACGTAGATTAAGAGGTAGACCAAGAACATATAGGAAGATAACATCACATACACACAATTAGGAGTTTCCTTCAAAGTCAGAGGGTATCTGCTTGAAAGGCAAAAGCACCCACAAGTCAAGTTCTATAGCAAGACCAGTGTCAAGAAGTGTACCAACAATGATAGCATTCGACGGGAGTTTCCAGCCAATGAACGAAAAAAAAAAAAGAAGATATGACTGGGAAGAGACTTCTCTCATCCGAGTGCTAGATGCGAAGAATAAGAAAAAGGAAAAGAAGAAGACGACGAAGACGACGGCGGAGGAGGAGGAAGAAGATGAGATGTGAGAAGATGGGACAAGTAGGAAAAATAAACCTATACTCTGTTTAACCTACAGCTGCGTGCTTCAGTCAGCCATGATGGATTTCTCATAACTTGGATGGGGAACTTCCGCTTGTCAGGCCAGAAGGACGTGTGTGTCTGCCTATAGGCTGGCTCGATCCTGTCGGCTGTCAGCTTTTAATAAACGTTAGCCGCCTGTTATTGTAGACTTGTCTGACTTTATTGGTCATTAGAGGGATTAGGCAATCTCTCTTTCTCTTTCTCTCTCTTTCTCTTTCTTTCTCTCTCTTTCTCTCTCTTTCTCTGTTTGTCTGTCTGTCTGTCTGTCTGTCTTGTCGCTCTCGCTCTCTTTTAAGGTCAAACTGCTAGACTGACCTGAAAGGCTATATGTTAGACGCGCTTGAAAGAAAGAACGTTAGACACGCTAGCAGTCCCGTTTGTTTGTTCTTTCTCTTTGTCTCTCTGTCTCACGCGTCCTCCTTCCCAAATGCCTCTGTAGCTGTACACCACACCTTGTGTTCCCTTCCTATAACCTTTTCTATATCGTGCTCTTCTTTATTCATGTTGCTTATTCAGTGTCATCTCCTCCTATACGTAGACCTATCCCCTACTACTTCTTTTGATCTTTAATTTTATTTTCAGCCGTCCACCCTGCTCTGTGCTTTTTTAAGTCTATCCCCATGTCTGTCTTTTGATGCTTTAACTCTTTTTTTTATCTCTTACTTCAACTTTATTGCACTCTCTTTGTTTATTTAACTATATTGCATCCCATTATTTACCCTTTCAAGTATATCTCACCACTTTCTCTGGTTCTTCAACTCTGTATCACCCCACCCTTTCCTTTAGCATTTTAAAGAGAATCTCGCGTTTCTTCTTTAAATATTTAACTTTATCCCCCTTTTTTCATCTTCAACTAAATACCCATGTGTTTGCTCCTTTAACTTTATCTTCAGGTCTATATAACCCTAATTCTTTCTTTGTATAATGACAGTATTTGTCGTCCCCTTGTGGGATGCAATTCTTTTTTTACTTCGAAGCTCCCACCCCTCCTCCCCGGCTTCGACCGGAAGCCCTGAATATAGCCGGGCCATAAATATGGCCTAACGGTAGAAAGGCGTTTCTGGGACCTCTCCACGGGTGATCCTCATCCGCAGGGTGACACTTTGTGTCGCCGGGTGTTTATCGCTTGTTTGGTGGGATACAACTACCAGCCAACCTTTATTTAATGACTCTGTGTCACCTCCCCAACCCACATCACTTCCACACAAGGTAGGAGTTAACTAACATTAAGTTTCAGTCTCTTGTGTAACACTCCCAATCCGGATTTAGTGACAGGCAAATGGAAGTAGCCGGGGGCATAACAAGTGTCAGCTCTGTAATTTGTCTCCCCTGAAAACATATTTATGCCATTTATCCCTGAAAATAAGACAAGGGTACAGGGGAGAAACCAAACAAAACTGAAAAGGTCAGATTTTAAAGATGATCGTGATTTAAGTCCTACCCCAAACATAAACACTATTTAAGATCTCCTAGTTCCCTCCGTCTTTTCAAACACATACGACCCCTAACGACTTGTAAATTGAAGTATCTTTTAATATACATATATAATAAATATATCTTCTTCTTCTTTGTTCACTGGTTGTAAGCTCTGGTGGAAAGTCATGGTTGTTTGTTAATTTGGACGTTCGCTTTATGCCTGAGCTTTGCTTGTAGATCCGTTTTACTGACTAATATGTGTGCTGTTGGTTGTTCCTTGACGCTCGGGCAGATGCACACCGACTTCGAAGGAAGTTCCTATTTAGTCGATTCGTACGACATGCTTGCTGGAAAGGCAGTGGATCTATTCTTGTTTTCCCCACAATGGGGCACCGGAACCCCCACGTGGATTATATATATAAATATATATATAATATTACTGACAATGATGTTATAAATAAATGAAAACATCAATTAAAATTAGAGACTTAGAAAAACAAAAGACTCATAAAAACCCATATAACCCCTAAAAATAGGTCATGAGGCGTCTTTTGGAGCAATGCAATCTACATAAGACCAGGTTTTTTTCTCTTCCTTCTCTGTGACAGTGGATTGTAGATGAGAAGGTCATTACAGCCCCTCCCCCCCCTCCCCAACCAAAACTAGACTACAAGTTACATCGTAAACTTTCTGTAGTGCTTCAGTGTGACTGTGCTGTGTGGGTGTAGAGTTAAACGTGATTTCCATGATTCGCAAATGCAAGTCTCAAGGAAACATACTTAGGGAAATGAAAATTGAGAAGGCTAAAATTCCACTATTAAGGGACTACGGGTTATCTGCTAACCGATTTATGGTTCCCCAAAATAACAGTGTCATTTGACTAATTGTTGAACTGGTCCACCAATTATAAACTGGTCACCAATTATAAAGTGGTCCACCAATTATAAACTGGTCCACCAATTATAAACTGGTCCACCAATTATAAACTGGTCCACCAAGTTAAGGCTCCATCGGAAGACCACCTGGCTAGATACTGGATCGCTCTTTTGTAAGTAAGAAGCACACGGGGCAAGGCTCTGAGTCTCCGATCTGGAATAACCTGTATGTATGGCTGCGGTACCTGCTGCGTTTAGTTTACAGTCTAAAACCAATGTTTGTTGTTTTCATGTGAGGTGGCTGATTTCAAATCGTGTTATGAGTGAGAAGTATTTCAGCAGCATCTAAAAGCTGCCTTTACGGTGCATTCTTTATCTGGCAGTTCTTTATTACTGTAACATTTTTAGTCATTATATTGTCTGCTCTTTCACTTTCGGTGATGTTGCAGTGGCGTTGGATCCACTGTTGCAGTCTGCCTGGTTAACTCTAATTTGAGTGGTATAGATTGTTAAAATATAGCTGCGTTTTGCTGGCTATTGATTACAATCCTGATTGAGCATCTGTATATATATATATAAATATGGCCAAATGTCTGAACGTGGTTTCTGGGACCTCTCCACGGCGATCCTCATCCGCATGGTGGCACTTTGTGTCATTGGGTGTTTATCGCTTGTGTGATGTCCTGGTGGGGTAGAAATTCATTCATTCATTCATTCGAAAGATGGCGAGTTTCGTGTGCTAGTTCTTCCATCGCTACATCTCCACGACCCCAACGGGTCAAGGGATATGTTATGCTGTGATGCATTGTGGGAATAACTTTTAATTCGAGATAAGTGGGCAACTTTATTTTGGTGTCTTCAAAGCAAAGAAAACGTCTTTGTCTAAGAACCAAGTAATTATACTAGCGAAAGTAGTAGCTAGTTTGTGTGGTAGTCTGTGTGGTAGTTTGTATGGTAGTCTGTGCGCAATATTAATAAGCATGAAAATGAGCCAGTTCGAGTTAATGGTAACTCTCTTTCTATTTCTCTCTCTCTCTCTCTCTGTATGTGTGTGTGTGAGAGAGAGAAAGAGAGAGGAAGAGAGAGAGAGAGAGAGAGATAGAGAGAGAGAGTGAAAGAGAGAGAAAGAGAGAGAGATAGAGAGTGAGTGAGAGAGAGAGAGAGAGAGAGAGAGAGAGAGAGAGAGAGAGAGAGAGAGAGAGAGAGAGAGAGCGTCTTGGCTGCGTATTTCAATAAGTGATTCTACACCTGATTGTCTGACTTGTCCGTGTGTGGACTCGAATGGCATAAACTATTCAAAATACACGTATCACGTCGCCCATTTCCACAAATCACTACAAGGAACAAATACATTTTCATGCAGTTTACTTTTATTGTTTTGTTCTTCCTTTCAAGAGATGATTTTGTTGTCTACAATAGTTACTTTGTGATATTTTAAAAGTGAACTATTTATAATAGAACGAATAACATTAGTAATGTGACACTGAACACAATAGTACACATTTTCAGGGAAATTAACATAGTCCCTGGGGAAACTCCAACGTACAAATCACACAAACGGGAACTTTCCCACAGTTTATACGTCACAACGACCCGTAGGGTGAAAATAAGATAAGACGAAAATGTGAACTTATGCTCGACAGGGATTGCACGCAGTCTGAGACTGATCGGATGTTTCACATTGTGTTACAGTTGTGATAAAGAATCCGCCTTTCACACGAATATTTGTATCTGTGTATTAGATCCCTTCTACATATGAGAATGGAGAATTTCTGTCGAGTGGGTAAACTTGCAAAGCCATCGCCACGATTTAAATATATGCCATTGTTAAATACACAGAGCAAATTCTTCACACGGTGATGCCTCCATATTTTATTTTATATTATTCCAAGCAACTGGCTGATCAAACTACTCTATTCTATTCCCAGCCGTTGAGTTGTTTTTAAAGCACCACGCGTCCTCAAATGTGTTCTCCCTTATCTGATAGATCAAGCCCACAGATCCACTACCCGTGAATTTGGGAATTAATTAATCTTTCTGCCTGGGTCTGTCCTCTCGAATCACGTGAGCCGCCTTCTCAGCGATCATAACCACAGCAGCGTTGATGTTTGCAGATGTGATGTAAGGCATAATCGAGGCGTCTGCCACTCGTAATCCTTCTATTTTCTGTACCCTGGAAGAAGAACACATAAGATAATTAAATCCGGTGTCAAAGAATAGAAGAACTCATTATAACAAGTCAACCGACAACAAATCAACATATAAATCAGCTACTTACTTAACCAATCACTAGACATAATAATTAGCAAACAGGAAAGAGAAGAAATTATTAAAACCAATCAAACGACAATAAATCAACTATGAAATCAGCTACTTAAACAATCAGTAAACCAAAAGTAAATAATCCGATCAATTTATCAATTAGTTTATTTGGTGGTCAATCAGACTTTTAATTTATGAACTAACAAACATAATTATAAATCAGTCAAATCAATAAACCAATCCTTTGTTCACTTAGCCTACCAAATGATAAAGCAATCACGCAATCAATTTGTCAGACAGTCACACCAGTTGATCAACCGGTCAAATATTGCCATATCAGATAACAACAATTTTTAATCTTTTCAAGAAAAACTCGGATGTTCTGAATTTCTAACACCCTCATGCTGTTGTATCATGGTTCATTCCTGTTTATCATCACCGTACAATGCATCCCCCCTCTCTCTCTCTCTCTCTCTCTCTCTCTCTCTCTCTGTCTTCTCTCTGTCTTCTCTCTATCTCTGTGATGTCTAGTCAGTTCACCTGCACGCTGTCTTCTCCTAGCCAGTTTCCCTGACTCCTTTCATTTCAAATTATTTATCAACATTCGAATCTTTTGAAATTCACCACTGCAGATAGCACCCGCTGCCATTAATCTATGTGATTGGCATTCTCTTTCCAAATAATATCTCATAATGTTTGTAGTCTATCTGGATAGTATCTCGCCGCTTCTTCCTGGTCTGCCTGTATGTCTGTGTGCGTATGTGTGCGTGTGTGACTGTATGACTAGAAGACAGGATACAATTGAAGATACAGACTAGACTGTACGCCTAGTCCAAGGCCGGCCCAGCCTTAAACGGTCCAGGGAAGTAAATGCGGCCGGAGTGATGTTAAGCACATCACCTATAGAGTGTCGAGTTGTCTATGCATCGCAGGTCTAGCCCTATATGCCAAATACGCCTGAAGGCGTTGAAAAAGGGTCCTTTCGTACCTTCTAATGTACGTCTAAAATATAGAACATAAAGAAAGACGTGTTTATACGTCTAAATGATACACCTAAAAAGGATGCGTAAATATACGATTAGAAGACGGAAGATCCGGGAAGATTTGTTGACATCTCAAAAAGATGGAATATAACGGATTATAAATACATACTACTAAAATACAGAGTTCAATGGAAGATACGGATTCAAAACTTCTCAACGGAATACATTAACATCACGAATACCCGATCAGAATCTCTCTCTCTCTCTCTCTCTCTCTCTCTCTCACACATACACACACACAAGCAAGCACGCACGCATGCACACACACGCACACACGCACGCGCGCAAACACACACACGCACAGACACACACACACACATATATACACACACCTTAATCGAGGGTCCACTACAGATGTTGGGTCACCAGTTGCTCCCATTTTACACGTCCCTGATGGATGGTAGATCGTGTGTAATCTGTTCCTGGCCATGCATGTCCAGTAGGGGTCCGAATCATACAAGTGTTCTCCACACAGCTGCCCAGGTCCATCTGCGTGTACAGCACCCAGACGTTAAAGGGTCGGTGTCTGGATTAATCGCTTGCAGTAGTTGATACCTGTCATGAGAACATTCTTTTAAAATGTAATTAGGTAAATGACCGTTTTCATTTCACTGACACACAAGACAAATAATGCTACACCTTCATTTTTATAGACTAGTGCGTTAGTTAATTGTGTATCCTTTACATGACGTTGCAGAACCAACCCTAGCATTTTTTCTTTTGGTTCTTGCAGTTGTAGTTGTAGTCAGCTGTAAGTCCCATTGTCGAAATCAAGGCAAGACAAACCGCCCGTAGCTGGGATCCAACCCGGCACTCCGTCATTAGAGAGTGCGTTCGTAACGCATAAGCCACAGAAGATGGTTGAGGGAAATCCAGTCAACAACATGCCAACTGTCTCTACTCTCTACAATACTAAATGTAGTCTCCCCGCTTCGTTCGGGATAGTGAAAGACTGTTATTCTCCCGTCTTCTGTCTCATCTTGGTCTTCACAGCTCCTCCATACGTAGGTCTATGAAAATAGGGCGCTAACTAAAACTATATTAAATATCCCTTCTTCTACTTCATATTTGTCCACCCCTGCCCCATCTTTAGTCATATCCCCTAAGTGCACCTGAGGCATCTCATGTTAAAGTAACACCAATATTTAACAACGAGAAGACAGACAAATATATGTTGCCTCAGTCACATATAGATATGTGGTTTCAAATAACATAACAGCGAAATACTATTTTTTGAAATAAAAATTAGTTATCAAGGGAAGTAACAGGAAAAATTATTGAAAGGGACATAACTCCAGCACAAAAGTTTACTCTGACTGATTATTAGAATAAATAAAGGAAATGCACCTACAGCTAACCACCAAAGTGACTGTTAAATTAAATATTGTAGCCAAAATAAATAGCAAGTGAACGTCTAACCCGCGTAGTTGTCATGGTCTGGGAAAGGGGGGGGGGGGGTGTGAGGGGAATAACATTCATTCAAAGTAAAGACACGAAATACAGAAAGCGTTTGTGAATTGTAGTATTGATTATGTTCATTTAACTACTTTTCGTCCCTCTTAGGACGTTATTTGTTGTTGTTTGAAGCCCCACTCTGGCTTTTGCCAGGGGCCGCAATATAGGCAGGTCATCATTATGGCCAAATGTCTGAACGCGGTTTCTGGGACCTCTCCACGGTGATCCTCATCCGCATGGTGGCACTATGTGTCATCGGGTGTTTATCGCTTGTGTGATGTCCTGGTGGGGTAAAAAGCCAATCCAGCCAATTGATTATGTGCTACGCGTTTAAGTCCGCCTAAAGACAATTCAAATTCTCTTACGTCCTTTTAGGACGTAATTTTTTTTTAATTGAAGCCTTACTCTGGCTTTTGCCAGGGGCCGCAATATGGGCAGGCCATCAATATGGCCAATTGTCTGAACGCGGTTTCTGGGACCTCTCCACGGTGATCCTCATCCACATGGTGGAACTTTGTGTCATCGGGTGTTTATCGCTTGTGTGATGTCCTAGTAAGGTAGAAAGTCAAGTCAAGCTAGGCGTTTCAGACTGGCCACAACTTACACATCCACCATCCATTATAGGAAGAAATTTTTCGTTATTTGAAGCCCTACTCTGGCTCTTGCCGGGGGCCGCAATATAGCCAGGCTATAAATATGGCCTAATGGCTGAACGCAGTTTCTGGGACCTCTTCACGGTGATCCTCATCTATATGGTGGCACATTGTGTCATCGGGTGTTTTTCGCTCTGTGTGATGTCCTGGTGGGGTAAAATTTCAGTCAGTCAGACTGGGCTGAACTGGTACCTAACTACAGCATCAAAAATGACCTTCCCCTGTGTGTATGTGAAACCAAGACCATGAATCCAAAGTAGAGCCTCCAGCCACGCCAGAGAAAAAGAGTGTGTGTATAAGTGTGTATGCTTGTAGGTAGGTGGCATGTGTGGGTCTGTAATTTTGTGTTCATTCATGTGTGCATGTTTTATGTTTATATTTATTTACGTATGTATTTACGTATGCATATATAACCTATGCTTTTGTGTACTTTATTTGATATTTACATATTTACATTATTATTAAATGAACAACACATGCTTTGCCGATGCAATACAATTCCTACTTGAAATATACTTATTTGGAACGGACGAATGTAAAACAAACTGCGTGTCCAATTTGTGACCCATTGAAAAAAAAAGCTCTTTTGTTGATTCATTCGTTCGTAAATTAAAGCTACCAAATTCGCTGATGCATTAAAACTGTTTCTCCCTTGTTTGGTCATCCGTATTTTTATTGCAGATTAACTAACCTTGGAGTATTTTAAACTATTCAATATTGTCGTCTTTCACGCATTCTAGCTAAACAGCAGGTCTTTTGCAGAACGTCGCTCTCATCACGGTCTGTCTGAAAGGAACTCGGTCTCTCGCCAGCTTTCCCGCCTCTATACTTTCATATTCAAGGAGTCACTTATATCTTGTGCCCATCTTCGTGTTGGTCGGCCCCTGCCCCTCCTTCCTACCATGTTTTCTGCTATTACTTTTTTGCAGTCTACCATGTCGCTTTAAATGACCAAAATATTTCAGTTTCCGAGACAAGATGCTGTTTATTAGCCAATCTTGCTTGATGTTCAGATCTTTGAAAATGTTATTGTTTCTTCTTTCCTTTTTCCATGGTATTTTGAGAATCTTTCTATAGTACTTCAGCTCAAAAGCACCTATTTTCTTCACACCAGACTATTCTCTGCAAATATAGGAAAATCATCTGGTACATGTTTTGGAGGCTGTGTCGACCCCAGAAGCCCCTGGGTCGTTATTCTAAATCCAAGAAATATTTCTACTGATGACCGCTGTCGAGAAATCTCACCTCTGACTAGCACATGAACATCTTCTTCAGCCTCCAGGTAATTCGGATCAATGAGCGGATAGTCAAAGGGATCACCTGACCGCAGTCTGATGGTGCCTCGGCTTTGTGGACGAAGCAGTGCCGGTTCACACTGGAATAGATCTTTGTAAATCTTCCTTTTGGAAGAGTCTTTCAGTGCCTGGTCGCCAGAAGTGAACCAATTAAACAGTTATAAACAGAAAATCATAAGCCATTGTTATCAATGGTAAATTTAATTAACATCACTGCCGCCACCACCACGACCACCACATCCCCCATCATCATCATCATCATCACTGCCACCACAATTATAATCATCACATTATAGGCTGTTTTCAATGCCTTCAGGTCTACAGGGCAAATCGTTAGACCTATATTTTATAGACTAACCGGCACTTGTGCGATGAGAAAGTCAGCATCACATTGGCTGCCATTAATTCCCATGACTTTAACTGGTACTCGTTTAAGGCTGGGTCGACCTTTAAGGTAAGATGGTTTCTTCAAAATAAAAAAATAAAAAAAAAATATTAACAGTCTGGTTTTTATGCGAAAATGAACCCACGATTTTCGAATCGGCCGGCGAGCATCCAGTTCCTACATCACAGAGGCTTCCTATCATTATTATTATTACCATAATAATAAGAAGAATCAAAATAATAATAATATTAATATTTTTATTATTATTATTAATAATTGTTGTCATGTTAATCGTCCCCACTGGCAATAACAGCACGTTGCTTAGTACACTTGTTTACCGGCTGTCATATCATGTGCTGGGCATTTCTGAGGTAGAATGTTTATTTTTTTCGTAAGTCTCAGTAAACCCAACATAAACTGTAGAACAGGCAATGTCTTGGGATACAAAGGCAGCTGGCGAGATATTGACATCAGCATTTCTGGGTGTAATTATCAGGTGAGCATCACTAAACCCTAGTGTAATGCAGACCACATTTCCCACCTAGTGCCGAATGGTCTGTAAAAATATATGTGCTCTTCCCGTGGGCCCGATGCGCCTAAAGGGCGAGAAAAGGGATCTCTACAATAATTAAACCCTTGAGCCGCAGTATACGGTAGTTTACAGGGCCAGGCATACAATATTAGAATCTCAAATAGCAGAGGCCTTCTATGTCGACACAGCTTAAGAATTGGTAGGAAGTATAGCAGGGCAGCATTCTATTCGTATAGTTTTCCATAAAACGGTAGACTGATCTTTAACAAATTTAGGGAAATTTAAGGAGACTTTCAACAGACCTGACCCATTAAACCTAATGAAGTTTGAAGAAGAGGCAAAAAGGACCACACATACCATAAATGACAGGCTGATTAGTGTTACGGAAATCAAACTGGTAATACATATCCTAGCAAATAACAAGATGATGATAATATTACAACAGAAATGCTGAAAGGAGCAGATGAGACAACTTTTCAACAAGCACTATAGCCATTTAACACAATATGGGAAGAGGAAACAGCCCCTGATTAACGGAAAAGGCATCTATTTTTTAAAGCTAATGTGTTCATACTCGTAAGATCGTTCTAGGACTATGGCTAACTAAACAGACCTGCTCAGTGTATCCAAATGTCCGCAGCCCCTCCACAGTGCTGGGTGTTCCATGGAACATGACCTCCAGGTCGGGCCAGTCAAGACGTTTGCTCTCCTCTCCAGTGCTGTCAAAGACCAGTACCTCCACGTAGTTACTGGAAGACAGGATACCTGACCGTAAAGGGAATACCGATTTCTGAGAGTCGGATAGGAGGTCACAGCTGTAATGTTGACACTGGCATATGCAAGAATAGAGAACTGGAATGTCAAGAGATGCGAAGACTTTAGGAATATTCGGACAAGGGAATAAATGTGCCGAAAATTCAAGGCTTAATTGGTTACCAAGCCCTAAAAGTGGAGGCTCCTGGATTACTTTACTTTTTTTTTTTTTCCTGAAGAATTCCTCAATTTTTAGGAAAGAAAATATGTCTGGCCTTTCTATTATTATATTGCACTATGAGGAGGCATTAGATCACACCCAATGGCGATGGCGAGTGTGACTAGAAAGACCCGGCCACGTTGAGAAAAGTCTTCCACAATCATAGCATAGGATGTCAGGAGCGTTGTTGTCAACATGTGTGTTTAGTCTGTTACTTCTCAGACGCTCAGCTCTTATCCTTTCTGCAGTCATTTCTTTCTTTATTTTCATTTCCTTTCCGATGTGCTTCATACACACAACACGGTCCATAGCATTTCTTTCCAATGAGTTCACCTCAATACCTGTATTATTCTTGTCTCACTTGCACACATCTTTATATCGTAGCAGAGGTCGGCCTCGACATCTTCTATCTGTCTTTAGTTCACCATAAAGGATGTCGTTAGGGACACCCTCCATTCTCCAGGTGTGACCCAGCTACCTGTGCCTTCGTAGACTTAGCATTGAGAGAACTGTTGTAATACCTACTCTTTCAAATACTAAGTGTTTATGATCTTGCCCTGCCACTTAATGTCAAGTATTCTTCTTAGGCATAGCACCTTAAACCTATTTAGACGTTTCTCCTGGTGTGAAAAAGTTGACCAAGTTTCACTGCCATAAAGTAGAGTGCCGAGAGCACAAACCTGAAAGACAAAAATTTTCTGGAACAGTAAACAGTTTTAGATATTCGCATAGGTGAACGGTTCAAGGTAAGCTGGAAATGTGAAGAGCTTTTCGAGATTTAAACAAATAAGTAAATCATTATATAGTTTGAAAATATTTGTGCCCTCTCCACTATGAAGGTTGACTATAGTATGCTTTTGTTGTTTTTGTGAATATTACATAGTGACGCCCCAATATTTTCCACAGTGCAACTCTCGCACTATTGTCCCAAATCCACGAGACTTTTTTTAACCGTCCACGGCAAGGACCCAACCTTGGTACTCTAGGATCACGAAATGGTTAACCGCAACCACTAACCTTTAAGCTACGATATTGACTAAAGTGATTAGGAGATTTTTGCATGTGGTCTTAGATTGCCCACGACCGGCTCCAGCTGACGGACTATGCTGCTGACGTCACCAGGACGGGCTAAGTATGCGTTAACGAAGCGGTTCTCAAACAAGAAATATACTATTTTCCACAGTGGCGAGGGAAGTGGCGAGGCTTAAATTTTAACTGTTATTATCTGAATGCCTTCTTTTAATAATTTAACATATTTTAGCCGACTTTTCCTGATTATTGCCGCGACAACCCTAGCGTATGCTTATGGCACCCCAGGTTGCCTCGGCACCCGTTTGTAAACCGGTTCTCAGTTTTAGATTTTGGAATCTGGATACAGCCACAGTTATATTAAGGCCTCCATTCCTGCCATAGCGGTTTTCATGGGTTTTCCCATGTTGTAGGGGTTAGTTAGGATATGCGTGCCTTCGCTTTCGCCGTCTACGCATACCATGCGGAAAGGCGGTTCTCCATTCGTCCGAGACCTGACACACGAAAGTGTGGAGCTCTCTTTCGTAGCAGAAGACATTGAGGGACTACGTTTGTGTGGGTGTGTGTGTGTGTGTGTGTGTGTGTGTGTGTGTGTGTGTGTGTGGTGTCCGTTCGTGTGTGTGCGGGGGCGAGCTAGTGTTCAGCATTTTGTCTTTTCTCTAACCGCTAGGTCTGTTGTGCAACCGTCACCGGTTTGAGAACTGATGACATTTTGAGATGGGCCCAGGGTCAAGTCACCAAGTCAAGCCGCGGTGACAGCAATGAAGAGTGAGCGCGTAACGCAAAACACATACAGTTGGCGTTGACGTAACAAAACATGGCACCTCTAGAACTTAGGACAGACTGTGGCAAATCTCATCCCCAGCGCGAATTGGTCGAAGGCAAATGCTCTATTTGGGAGCAAAGGATAATTAAAAAATGACTGTTGAGTTCTAATTCTTGTGTTTAATCTAAATTTGTTTTCCAGCTGTTTACTCTATCCAATTTTTGTTAACTAACTAACTAACTAACGTACAATATCCAAAGAGTGTTTTCTATGTTGTAGATGTCTATTTAAAACAGTCTGTGTTATGTTGTGAGTACTCATTCCAAACAGTCTGTGTTATGTTTAAGTTAGTTGCGTATCTTTTACAGAACATTGCAGAACCAACCCCAGAATTTGTTTTCTGTTGATGTTTTTCTAGACAAATTTTTATGTTAAAATACCTGATCGAAATAGTTTGTATTGTGCTTGAGTCCACAACGACTCCTGCATTTCCCTGTTGGCAGTTAAGGATTGATTAATGCCGACACAGTACTCAAAGTATACGTGGTCTTGTAGGTTAGCCCCAACAGGCAGGTCGGCCACCAGTGGAAGCTAGGAAACAAAATTGTGGCCATTAGTTTTGATTGTCATTCCAATATATGGTCACACAGAAAGAATAAAACATACCAGTTAGTTGTAGATACTTTACAGGACGTTGTAGAATAAATCCAGGTACTGTTTGGTTGTCTGCGGTTTCACTAGACAATTTTACGATCAGTTTGCCATTGCTTTGAGCGGTTGGTCTAGGTGCCATTACTAAAACTAACTTACGGCGGTCTGCTGCTAGAACAATCTCATCTGGGATCGATCCGGCAATTCGGAATTACAAAGCGCGTTTACAACGTTTAAGAAGAATCAAGCATGCTTGAGAATGTTGGTCAAGGGCGGTCTCCTAAGATACACTGGGTACAGCGAGATACACTGGGTACAGCGAGATACACTGGGTACAGCCTGCCTGCTGTTCCCCCTCCTTTTCTCTACCACTTCTGTGATAGACTGGGTACAGCCTGCCTGCTGTCTACCCTTCTCCTGTCAACTCCGAAGAAAAAAAAAATTATTTTGCATTATCATCAAGTGCCTTGTAAGCTAGCCTAGGAGTTCATGCATTTCCGCATATTTCTGTCTTTAGTGTTCTGGATCAATTCCACTGAAGATGTTCCTCCATGCCACTGTAGTGACTCTCTTTAGTCCCAGTCTCTAGCTCTAGTCATGTGCACACTTCTCCAATGTATACTGGCAAATCATAATTCAACTAGTGGAACAATAAAAACGTTTTGAACGCCACACAGGCGATCACTGTCACTGTTTTTTTTTTCATTCAAACACAGCTGACCTGTCGGCCAGAACAAATAGATAAGAAACACATCTTGGGGTAATTCAGTTCAGCCACTTGACACAGCATCACTCGATTTTATCGATTACACGTTACCTTTCTTACATGTTTGTTTGCTGTTTGTTTTAGTATCCAGTAGCCATAAGTTGTTAACCCGTAGTCTCCGTATTATGGATATCGCAACCTTTCGGCCTTCATTCCATTTTAAATACCGTAAAATCTGGGAGAAGTGTGGCTTTCCTGCCTACCCCCGGGATCGAACCCGGACCACAAGGAGTTCGTCACCCGGTCTCCGCGCAATCCGGTTTAGCCAACTACGCTAGAGAGCGGGCACCTTTCTTACATAATACATCAGAAAAATCCAAGGATGCCTGACGTTCACAGACCATCCAGATTGACAGCAACCGACCACATCCAAACTCGACAGAAAGTCGACTCGACAGGATAGCCATTGTTCAAGGGAAACTCTCAGTCAAACTCGGATACAAGCGTTCACTAGCACTAAGATTTGTGTATAATTCGCTTCATCATCCACCCCGTCCAGAGTCAACACGGACTCGAGCAAGATTGGACACCTGACTGAACTAAGACTGAACTAAGACTGATCATTCTCGATCATTCCAGGAGTTAAATAATCATTCTCACCCACTCTTTGGTTTGACAAGGTTTAGGCAGTTCGTACATTTGGCCAACATTTTCGATCACCCTTCGATTTGTCCTTGATTTTTAATTACACGTATTCGAGTATCCAACACATGTTAAATATCTCAAATCATTGCTAATGTAGCATAAATTATCGAGGATAAGATGATCACCACAATATGAACCATGGTTTCTCTTGGTCTGCCTCTGACTCTTCTACCAGTGATCTTTCCAGTAGCCACGATATTTTCCAGTGCTCCTTTTTCTCATTACACGAGAACAGTTTGTCTACTTCTTATTGTTGTAGATAACGTTCTACTTTCACCAGCCATATCCAGGAAATCATTGTTTGTTACTGTTGCAGCCCAGGCTATTCGCAACATTCTTCTCAAGAACCACACCTCAGTTGTCTCCGAAATCTTCTTAATTCAGTTTGCATAACCACATTAATCTCTTCAAATGATATCACTACATGGTTAACTCACCCCAAGTTGTTTCAGGTGTTCATGTGGCCCGACCCCACTCAGCATGAGTATCTGGGGCGACCCAACAGCTCCAGCAGACAGAACGATCTCCTTGTTTGTATAGACGACCTCCTTCCTTCCATTGTAAACCATCTCTACACCGACAGCTTTCTTGGCTTCAAACAGAATCTTAGAGGTCATAACAAAGGTGCTATATAATCTTAGAGGTCATTACAAAGGGGCTACATAATCTTAGAGGTCATAACAAAGGTGCTACATAATCTTAGAGGTCATAACAATGATGCTACAAAACCTTAGAGGTCAGAACAATGGTGCTACAGAATCTTAGAGGTCAGAACTATGGTGGTACATAACCTTAAAGATCAGAACAAAGGTGCTACAGAACCTTAGAGGTCAGAACTAAGGCGCTACAGAACCTTAGAGGTCAGAACTATGGCGCTACAGAATCTTAGAGGTAATAACAAAGGTGCTACATAATCTTAAAGGTCATAAAGATGATGCTACTGAACCTTAGAGGTCAGAACAATGGTGCTACGGAATCTTAGAGGTGAGAACAAAAGTGCTACAGAACCTTAGAGGTCAGCAAAATGATTCTACAGAACCTTAGAGGTCAGCAAAATGATGCTACTGAACCTTAGAGGTGAGAACAAAAGTGCTACAGAACCTTAGAAGTCAGCAAAAAGATGCTACAGAACCTTAGAGGTGAGAACAAAAGTGCTACATAACCTTAGAGGTCAGCAAAATGATGCTACAGAACCTTAGAGGTCAGCAAAATGATGCTACTGAACCTTAGAGATGAGAACAAAAGTGCTACAGAACCTTAGAGGTCAGCAAAATGATGCTACAGAAATTTAGAAGTCAGCAAAAAGATGCTACAGAACCTTAGAGGTCAGCAAAATGATGCTACAGAAATTTAGAAGTCAGCAAAAAGATGCTACAGAACCTTAGAGGTCAGCAAAATGATGCTACAGAAATTTAGAAGTCAGCAAAAAGATGCTACAGAACCTTAGAGGTCAGAAAAAAGATGCTACAGAACCTTAAAGGTCAGAACAATGGTGTTATGTTTAAGTGCGTTTCAGTTGTCAAGAAAGTGTACTTAATTGTTACGAAACTTAAAAAAAAATTCTTAAAAAGAGACTTAATAATTAAATTATCTCTTTCATCCTGCGGTGCCGTTATTCCTCACACAGGGTTGGCAATATATCCCCCTTACTTGTTCTTTTATAAGTATTTACTAAGTGCTTCTAACGTTCTTCTTCTTCTTATTATTATTGACGTTATTACTACTGCTGCTGCTGCTGTTGATGTTGTTACTGCTACGATTACTTCTACTACAATGACTACTGCTGGTGTTGCTGCTACTTTTACAACAGCAGCTACTACTACTACTACTACTACTACTACTACTACTACTACTACTACTACTACTACTACTACTACTACTACTACTACTACTACTACTACTACTACTACTACTACTACTACTACTGATACTACAACTGATACTACAACTAATAATAAAAATAGTAATCATAATCATAATGGTAATAATAAATAATGAATTAATAATATTAACTAATAAAACGTTTATAATGATGATGGTGATAATGGTGATGATGATGATGATGATGAAATTGAAAAAACCCAAATTATTCTTTTGTGTGCTTACTCTTGTGACATGCGTGTTAATCCGTACATGGAGATTTCCCCGTGACATCACAGGGTGGAGGTAACCACGTGATGTGCTCCACCGGGTGCCCTGGTAGGATGTCGACTGTGCTCTGTAAATCCCTATACATGAGTCCGCATGAAAAAAATGCATCAGACATCAGGAGAAACACGCTGTCACGTTTTACATTAAACCTTACAAATCATGTCTTCCGGAAAAGTAAAGAACCAATGGCTAGTAAATATTTTACAGCAACATTAATGAGGGGCAGATGACCAGTATACAGATGGACACAGGATGTTAATGACACCTCGGGTAGGACAGTGCAGGAAGCAGTAGAGCTGGCGGGGAACCGAGTTTCTTTCATAGAAATTGCGATGAGAACACTGTTCTATGAAGGACCTGCTACCTGATGATTAGAGGACCATTTGCAGTTCTCGATCTGAAGTTTTTTTTCTTCAGATAGATGAACTGATAGTCATTTGGTGATGTGGAACACAATCACGTCGGCCCCCTTTACTTCCTATGACATTTCAGGCTGGGTGGGCCTGGTAACCAAGGACTGTTTTCTTTCTAATCGGTTCGATGCGGATTCGAATTTAAGAACTTAGGTCGGCAGGCGACCTTCGAGTCATCATGCTGCCCCTTTTTCCGTTTCCATATAGTATTCGAAAGTTACAGAACTCTAGGCTTCGATGCAGGGGATCTAGGTTCGAATCCTAGGTTAAGGTGGAGGATTCTTTTTGGGTCAGGCGCAACCCCCCCCCCCCCACCCCCTCCCCTCCCAAAAATCCTAACCTGCAATATTCGTGGTGACAGCATTAGCCATGCGGCTCTAAATTCTCAGGCTCAAAGATCCCCCTGCCTACTCCACAAAAGTGGTAAATACTTTCAGTAATTGACATTTTTTTTCTTTCTGTCAGAGTTATAGTGCATTTAGCTGTTTCCAATTAACGCTTTCAGGCTCTGTTGCAAAAAGAAACGACATCGCACTTATAGTTTTCTACAATCACAGGGACTGAACTACAGCAAAATATCGAATACAAATGTGTTGTGCTGCCTAAACTAGAGATACAGAAACATTCATCAGATGTATTTGGGTTGACTGTAACAGCAAGTCTCCTTGTGGGTTTACTAGGCCACATTGTAGGGGCAGGGGGGGGGACATGAATTGACCCACTGTCTGCCCAAACAAGCATGTCGTAGGAGTCTACTGACTGTGGCATCATTCAAAGCCGGAGTACATCTACTCGCGAGGTAAGTAACCAGGAGTCTGCATACAAATAAGCCTAATCTGTAAAACTGATGTGCATACAACACTCAGGTTCTAGAACAAGCCGAAAGTCGGCGGGTGAACGAAGAACCAAAACTTTCCGTCGGAGTTTACAGTCGGTAAACTCGACGAAGAAGAAGATATCCAGTCACACATGATTGGTTGTTTATTACTTAAAGAGTCGATGGCTGCAAGTTAATTTGGCTGATTTCAAGACACAAGAAATAATGCAGCAATGAAACCTGCAATCGCAAACTGTTATTTTGCGAACTAAAAGAAAAACCACTGTCTGACCTCTCATGCTGGCTCCATTGGGGTCGCTGATCGGTAATCCCAGTTCAAGACCAGCCTGTAGAATGTAGTCTGTTACTGGGACGGTTTTCGGTACAGTTACCTTCAAAGGACCGCCCTTACCGTGGTACTCTGTGAGAGCAGATATTTTATCAGTTTGTATCCCGACGTTTCTATGAAAACAAAAAGCAAACAAACAGTGCACAATATATTGCTTCATATGTTTCGCAGAAAACTATTGCTAACTCACATGCGCCTTACTCCATGGTGCAGAAACCTGGACAAAAAAAGAAGCAACTAGAAAATCGAAGTCTCTGGAATATGGATAAGTAGGAGAAAAAGTAGTATTTCTTGAAAAAACAAAACACACTCAAGTGTTCAGGCTCTGGAGACAACAGAAATGAAAAGAGAGCTGCTTCAAGAAAAAAGGAAGAAGTAACCGAAATATTTCAGGTTCATGAAAAAACATACTAAATAAGAGGGAACAGTCGAAAGTAAGAAAGCAAGAGATATACGCTGATACAAGTGGAAACGCAACATCAAGAGTCTACCGAAAAAAAAATTATAAGTGAGAGTGCAACCAAGTGAAGAGACAGGGCGTGAAGAAGATCAACTGCAACCAACCTTTTTTGTGGAGACGGCATCTGATTGATCGACTGAGTGAACGCTAATAACGCAGTCTTGAAAGACTGACATAGTTACCAATTACTACAGTACTAAAGTCGGCGTCTGTGGCTTTATCGTTGCGAACGCGGTTCGTAATGCCCGCGTGCCGGGTTCAATTCCAAATGCGGACGATTTTTCTTGAGTTGGTTTCAACAGTAGTACCGAGAGCTGACCGTGCAGTCAGCAAAGGCAAACTACTGAATTTAAAATTTACCTAGAAAAAAAAACAGAGAAAAAATATGATGGGGTTAATTCATGAACGTCATGTAAAGGATAGGCAACTAACTTTTTAACTACAGGAGACGCTGTTTTTGAATTTAAAGAAAACGAAAATAACGTCCACAGATAAAACTGGCTGTCACAAAAAAAAAAAAAAAATGGTGAAGAAATTGAAAATGTCCCAAACTTTGAATATCTAGGCTCTATAATCAATAGCAAAGGAGACTTGACAGAAATTAAAAGGAGGATGGCCATAGCAATGCAAAAATTAAACAGTCTAAAAAGTCTATAGTTAAACACCAACATAGAGATTAAAATTAGAATTTTGAGAGCATGCATCTTCCCTGTGGCTACATATGGATGTGAGTCGTGGACTATCTCCAAATCCTTGAGAAAGAGAATATGGGCTTTTGAGCTGAAATGCTATAGAAAGATTATCAGAATATCTTGGACAAAGAAGATGAGAAATATTGACATCCTGAAAGATCTGAACATCAAGGAAGATAGGCTAATAAACAGCATCCTGTCTCCAAAGCTGAGATATTTTGGTCATATCAAGCGCCACGACGGATTGAAAACATTTATAGCAGAAGGCATGGTACCAGGAAGGAGGGACAGGGACCGACCGACACGAAGATGGGCACAGGATATAAGTGACTCCTTGAGTGTGAAAGTGCATGAGACGGGAGAACTGGCGAGAGACCGGGTTTCTTTCAGGCAGATCGTCATGAGAGCGACGTTCTGCAAAGGACCTGCTAGAGGATAATGATGAAACGCTGACACAAAAAAATTCATCATTTTGTGCCATTTTGATAAGAATAGTCGGCCATTGTTCGCTATCACACATGATCCCCGGAATCACCCACCACGTAAATGTTATTCTCCTGCCCAAACCTAAGGGTCAAGCCATCCAAATCTTGATCTGTCTACCCCTTACTCTTTTCTTTTATCACTGTTGTCATGTTGTCCTATCTCAACAAATGTTTAACTTTTGCTTTTAAATAACGTGTCTAAATATTGCGACTGCCTACATTATTCTCTGAAATTAGTGTACAATTTTTACGAGTATCTGGCAGAACTATTTTTGTGTGTTTAGAAGTAAGCTCTTGATATTCTGTGAATTTCCTCATTAACATAAACTCTCAATTCCTGAATTCACGAGTGTATTGTCAAATGTATTAAACTTTTTGAGTCATAAGGAACGCTTTATACGTTCATACGTTCATAGGTTCATGCCCAGTGAACACAAGATGCGCCGATTTTATGTCTCTCTTAACAGCCCCCTGTGACTCGAAAAGTTAACATCGTACGGGTAAACATTTATAATATAATTTTTGACAACACGTTTTAAAATAGTACAGCTATGTTCAATGCAATAAAACGTGGCAACATTTTTTCTTTAAAATAAAATTTTTGACAATACGCGTGAAAATATTTCTGACATCATTTCTCATAATATTGATAATATCACTGTTGATATCAGTCTTGATGTAATTTACGTCTTTTATAACACACGCTAAGACACAACTTTCTTGACATCACGATAGATGAAATTGACATCAGAATAAATGAATTTGACATCAGAATACATGAATTTGACATCAGAATACATGTATGCATCATTGTCTAAATGCAACCACAACCAGCTTTTACTTCTTACAACACGAGTTATGAGCATGCGTTTGTCGTGAACTGATGTTAAAGTATTGGAAGCACAGAACCAAAAAAGTGATTGCTGAAGACACTGAGATGAGAATTAATGACTGACTATTACATGGCTCTCACCAAGAGAGACCGTCAGAAAAGGAAACAAATTGAACAGGTGACAATCAACGCTCCAGTGAGTTAGATACAAATGGGTAACATTATTAGAAACGTTTCAGCAGTCGGCTCCTCTAAAACCGGACTACATGTTGCTTGGTAACCGTTTTGTGGGCCCCGATGTAACTGTGCTGTATGGCTGTACGGTTGAACGGAAATTGCGAGATTTGTACCTGTCTAGTTCTCATCCTTGACATTGTAACCCAACAGACAATTATCCTGTAATAAAGAAAAAGGAGGTTGGACTATAAAAAAAAAAGAGAAGATAAAACAGAAACAAGAACAAGAGAGAGAGAGAGAGAGAGAGAGAGAGAGAGAGAGAGAGAGAGAGAGAGAGAGAGAGAGAGAGAGAGAGAGAGAGAGAGAGAGAGAGAGAGAGAGATGAGGGATAATAAGAAAAAATTCTTGTAGTAACTGTAGAAGCACTTCAGATGTTGTTTCTGCTTTACCAGTGGTGTAACTAAACACATCGCACAAGACCGTACTCTAAAACTCACACTACATGATATGTACCAGAATTGACAAGTTCTAGGTCTTGAATGTCTTCAGCTTTGATAAAGAATGGCAGTACATCCTTGTAACTCCACCCCTCTGCTCCTTCTGCAGCCCAACGGTCAAAGTCCAGCTTGTGTCCCCTAGTGTACAACATACTGTTGAGGTTGGAGGTGCCGCCTAATGCCCTACCTCGCGGCCAGTAAGACTTCTGTTAGGGAAGCAATTAAAGTCACTGGTTATTGGTCCTTCCTTTTTGTAGGGTTGTGGTGGGGGAGGGGAGGGAAAGAGAGAGAGAGAGAAGGGGGGGGGGTGGGTTGAGGGGAATTAGCTTTCAACTCAAAATAATCTTAGTTGAGCTTCCTTTTAACAAGAGATGCCACATGTGTCAGACTGGTTTCCTTCTAACAAGAGATGCCACATGTGTCAGACTGGCTTCCTTTTAACAAGAGATGCCACATGTGTCAGACAGGCTTCCTTTTAACAAGAGAGGCCACATGTGTCAGACAGGCTTCCTTCTAACAAGAGAGGCCACATGTGTCAGACAGGCTTCCTTCTAACAAGAGAGGCCACATGTGTCAGACAGGCTTCCTTCTAACAAGAGAGGCCACATGTGTCAGACAGGCTTCCTTTTAACAAAAGAAGCCACATGTGTCGCACTGGCTTCCTTCTAACAAGAGATGCCACATGTGTCAGACAGGCTTCCTTTTAACAAGAGATGCCACATGTGTCAGACAGGCTTCCTTCTAACAAGAGAAGCCACATGTGTCAGACAGGCTTCCTTCTAACAAGAGAAGCCACATGTGTCAGACAGGCTTCCTTCTAACAAGAGAAGCCACATGTGTCGGACTGGCTTCCTTTTAACAAGAGATGCCACATGTGTCAGACAGGCTTCCTTCTAACAAGAGAAGCCACATGTGTCGGACTGGCTTCCATCTAACAAGAGATGCCACATGTGTCAGACAGGCTTCCTTCTAACAAGAGAAGCCACATGTGTCAGACAGGCTTCCTTCTAACAAGAGAAGCCACATGTGTCAGACAGGCTTCCATCTAACAAGAGAAGCCACATGTGTCAGACAGGCTTCCTTCTAACAAGAGAAGCCACATGTGTCAGACAGGCTTCCATCTAACAAGAGAAGCCACATGTGTCAGACAGGCTTCCTTCTAACAAGAGAAGCCACATGTGTCAGACAGGCTTCCTTCTAACAAGAGAAGCCACATGTGTCGGACTGGCTTCCTTTTAACAAGAGATGCCACATGTGTCAGACAGGCTTCCTTTTAACAAGAGAAGCCACATGTGTCGGACTTGCTTCCTTCTAACAAGAGAGGCCACATGTGTCAAACTGGCTTCCTTTCACGGTATATTTCAATTAAAGAGGAGACTTCTAGGCGGTAGGTAGGTACTTTGGTGAAAACTAAAATTGTCACTCTAAACCAGCATCCCCTAGGGGGAGCTTTAGGTTATAATTGTGGCTAGATTGTGTCTGACATAAAAATATCTTAGTATTGCGCTGCACCAAGTAGTCATGAAAATGACCAAAGCAGTATTGATGCGATCAAAAGTGACAGACCAAATACTGTCCTGACCGGCGACGTAGTCGTATACCGGCGAGCCTATAGGCGACCCCGTCGCTGATGACTTCTGTGTGACGGTACATCGCGCCGTCTTTGATATGTTCAGAAAATTAAAAAAGGTTGAACCAGCTGAATAATTCTCTGCACATGTTATATGTCTCTCAACAGTTGAACATTACTAAAAAAAAAAAAAGAAAAAAATCAAACAGATCCAATAGTCCGTTACCAGTAGTGTGTATTTCTAAATGTCTAATCATAACTACAAAAGAATACTCAGAGCATGTCTAGTTATTGCAAAGTATAAGCACAACTGAACCATTTCTGCTGTTTGGAGATTTGTTTAAAAAAAAAAAGCTTTAGGATAAAACTAAAGCCCGCAAAAACAGTAACTGAAAATGTGTGTAGCCAGACACAAGCACCAAGCTGGAAGGCAGAGAAAAAGAAATAAACCAACATAGAACTGGTTATATTACACCCCAGCAGCTGAGCAATATTATACCCAAGAAGGAATCATCACTTGTGGACTGAAGGAAGTAACGTGCAGTTAAGAGGACCTGACGACTAAATAATTATTTACCTCACTGAGGAGGCACTAGGGGAGGTATCTGTGTGCGTTGGAAAAAAAATCACCTTATTTCATGGTATATTTTAACTGTTTCTGTATAAACTAGCAGTCAGTAACATTATGTCGACTCCTTGACGTGTATTTGCCAAATAATGCTATGATAAGATGTCTATGGAACAATGGTTTTGTGTTGTTGTTGCTGAGTCTTGTGGGTTTTCTTACCCAAAATGAGGGAGCTGCGTGGTCTCGGGGCATGGTGTCCGCCTCGAATGCTAGAGGTTCCGGGTTCAATCCCAGGTAAGGGTTGTGATTTTTCTCACATAGACTTGGACTTCTAGAAATTCTCACTGGTCTCTGGGTAGTGAGATCGGACGTCGGTGTGCATTGTTGCGCACGCAAAAAATCCCTTGGTAGTTGGAAATCTATAAGAGCAGCCTAACGGCGCTGCCCGGGCAACATTTGGAGTTAAAAATCTACCCAAAGTATTTCAGGATCATCGCCGGTGCTTCAAGCCTGTGCACTGTGCTGAACTTCTCCGGACTCTGACCTAAGTTAAAAGAAGAACGGAGCACTTATGGGTTACACGCGTGTGCAATGATGTTGATCCGTTATTCAAAATCTCAAATCTTTTACCCAAAATAGACCCTAAGACGTCCTGAGACCTGAGTTAGTTTGTTTGTTAATCGACCGATCATGTTCATTGCCCGTGGAACAAGACTAAAAATGGTATATCCTTCACCGTCTTCTCCTGGATCGTCTGCTTGTCCCACCTTCTTGAAAGTATTGAGAACATCCGCCTGATCCATTGCTTGTCCTTTGCCTACCGTGACCGTGCCAGCAAACCAGTACACTCGTTCATCTTTCTTACCTCAGAATGTTCCGTGATAAAAATGGATCTGATTCCTACCAGACGAGATATTCTCAGAGATTCCAATCATTGTATTCAAACCCATCCTGTCCTGATTTTCATGGAATCAATTGGAAGAAAACTTGCATGGGAAAATAACAAAAAAAAAAAAAAAACCTAGATCAACGGAATCAGAAGCAGGACCCATGCCCTTCGAAGCATTTCGCAGGCTAGATGATCGCAATATATAGTTCATAAATAGTACCTAGCATAGAACATAATACAGTACATATCACAGAACACAACATAGTACATAATATAGTACATAGCATTGTACAAAACAGCATAGAACGTAACATAGAATTCATAACATAGTTTATAAGTAAACTAAGCAAAAGACCTTTTCCCACGCCATCATGCGTATTAGTCATATAGTCCAATTGACACTCGATGGGAGATGATAGGAACATCATGTAGGTCGCCTTTACTTCCAGACTTCACCTGGTACCACTTAAGGTTTGCTTTCGAGATCATTTTTTAAACAAATGTTCTGATGCATTAGGATTCGGACTAACAAATTTCTGATCCACAGGTGAGCGATCGCAGTACATACAGTATTAAGTAACAAACTAATAACATGGTGCAAAACATAGTACACACAAATACACATACACATAACAGGCATTTGTAAAATAGCATATGTATATAGATGAAAAATAGATAAAAACACCTAATAAATCTCAACCCACCTTGTCTTTGAAAGCTTCCATTGCATGCTTCTGTGGCTCCGTGTAGTACTCCCAGTCAAACACCGAGTGCCTTACTCGACCGGCATAACCTGGAGTCATGATTGTGGGCTGTCCACGATCATCGCCCCCTGCCTCCAGCAGCAACACAGTGACGCCCTTGTCTTCAGACAACCTGTTGGCCAGGACACAACCAGCGGAGCCGGCACCGACTGCATGAGAGAGGATCAGAGATCACTGAAGCTGTTAAAGCTAAAACATTTGGATGTTCCCAAGCTCCTTCTGTTCCAAAAAGCAGAGCTTCAAAGCTATACACTTTTAGACCAGAGAGCGTGGGGGGCGTCTTGTTGAGCTGTTAAGAACGCTGCACTCTCAAGTTGGAGACCCAGGTTGAAATCCTCAGTAATCATGGACTTTTTCTATCAGGGTTAAAAATAAATCCCTAACCTTTACCGTGGGTGTTGATAACATTAATGCCTTTCTCAGATACCGCCTCCCACCCCCTGTCTAAATCACACAAATGGTCAATGCAAGCATAGATTTCAGCTCTCCTACCTTGAGGAAAAAAGACCTTAGCTCCCAGGTCGACCCAGCCTTGAGTGAATACGGGGTACGGTCCCGGGAAGTAAAGGCGGCCAGCGTGATGCTGACCACATCACCTATCTTGAGCCAATCGGTCTATAAAAATATAGGTCTAGCCCTATATGCCCTATACGCCCTAAAGGCGTGGAAAAGGGTCCTTTACTTTACTTTTACTACCTTGAGGGGTTAAACAAAACAAGTAGAATTGAAAGACATTGTTAAACTAATAACTTACTTTTACACCCATCTCTGATGGCAGACACCAAAAACAATATATTATCGTTGGAGCTACAAGGAAACGAATGGCAAGTTGTTGGTTAATGAAAGAGTTTAGGACACGGCAACATAAGCCTGCAGTCACTGATTGCTGTGTGAGTTCAGAAAGCATTTAATTTAGTAATGTGCAACAGGTCCATCTCCTTGCATATCTGAAAGAGAGCACTAAAATGTTATGTAGAACCTATATTGCTGTATGGGAGTGAATCATGGAGTGTGAATGCACAAATCTGAAACAACTTTGAGGCTAGGGAGATGTGGTTCCTCACACGAATGTTAAGAATACCTCGGACTGCCAGAGTAACGAACAAGGATTGCTTGAAAGAATCTAATGGAAAAAAAAAAAGATCAATATATACAGATATAAGGATACAACAAGCACTGTTTATTGGTTATGTGATGAGAAGGAAGGCTGTGGAGGTTGTGACGACTGGAAAGATCGACGCTAGATGAACTGTGACGGTGCCACCGATATCATCGGGGGAACTGATCCAGAGGACAGTGGACCGAAACCGGTGAAGATGAACCCTAACCTGCGCCAGTCAGCAGGGCACGTCATGGTGATGATGAGTTTGCACGAGGAGTAGCTGCTGAACAATTAAGAAGATGGGCTTCTCAGTTAAGTGACCCAGGTTTGAACCCTGTGTAAGTTTATGCATTTTGATTTTCTGTCCAGAGCAACTGTAGAATTCTAACGTGCACCAGTCAATGGCAATAGCACTAGACAGCGCTAAATCCCCGCGTTTCTTCGAAGGCCAAGGTTTTCGCGCGTTAACCTAACCCTAACCCTGACTCTAACCCTAAACCTGGCTCTAACCCTTACCCTAGCTCTAACCCTAAACTAACCAAAATTATACGCTTAATCTACCATCCCTTGAAATATTTGACTGTTCCATGACTTGTGGAGTTTCCCTGTTTGTGGTAGGCTAATAAAAAAGTACATAATAATAATAATAATAATAATGTGCTGAATGGTAGAAGTAATATCATATTAATTAACAGATTTTTAAAATTAAAGCATTCACGTTGTTATTATGCCCGATTACCCCTTACATACTTTATAAAGATTGGAAGTAGGGAAGGGGAGGGGGAGACTCGTCTCATTTTATCTATAATGATTCTGTGTGAGGACGCAATGTGCTTATGCTCACAGTTTTATCTGCCCACGCATTTAGGTAGACAGTAAACAACAAACGACAAAGATAAAGCTTAAATTTAGTGTGAGGCCTTAAAAATAAATACAGGAGATTGTCTTGATTATTTTACAGTAAACTTTCAGTGATACGGGAGATTTTCTTGTTTATTTTACTGTAAACTTTCAGTGCTACGGGAGATTTTCTTGTTTATTTTACAGTAAACTTTCAGTACTACGGGAGATTTTTTTTTCTCGTTTACCTTCTCCCTGCCAGTGGTCTTCAGATGAAAAGACAGAAGGACTCTATAAATGCTGTTGGGCAAAACATGTCCTCCACTGATCCATACAGTAGGATGTTCACTGTATAGCTAACTTGCCAGACCTAGGTCCTATCTCCTACAACTTAGAGAGCATGTCTGTAGCACTTACTCAGTATTCTTGGGCGTCTGTTTTAAAATACGGTTCTTTTCTTTTAATTTACCCCATTTCGGGGACCCCGATATTTCGTGGGGAATTCCCGGAAAGTCCTGTCATACAGAGGTGTTAGGGTGTGAAATGAACACCAACACTAACCTTACACCCCTATAAAATTGGACTTTCCCAGAAACCTCCCACGAAATCTCGGAGTCTCCGAGTCAGGGTGAACTAAAAGAAAAGTGCCTGAGATACTAAATGATGATGCAGTTGATGATTACTCACCGATGATGTAGTCGTAACTATCATTGAGGCGAGTAACAAGATATTCTCCCGGAGCCTCATTGGATGAAAACACCAGTCGCTGTAACCTATAGGCCAAAATGGCTGACACCAGGACAAGCAGGACACGTACCAAAGACATGGTAGGACACGAGAGCCCCGACCAACATGCAAGCCAGCTGTTTGTTTCTGTGTGAGAATAATGACACCGCACTCAAGAGTCTGTGATAATAGGACATCTGCAGCCGACCATATCAGCACGTCAACGAAGGTTCTTAAGATGTGTCTAGAAGACCCAGATAAAATATCTATGTTTTCATACATATACAACTATGTCAGGGCGCTGGTGTTATAATGTTTGGATTTAGGGCCGCACAGAGCGTTTAGTCGTCACAGATTGTGTAGGCTTGAATTTGTATTTTCTGCCATCACCTTAACGAGGACTCAATGAATAATGCATAGAACAAGAGCCAAACCGTTCAATGACTAATGAGCCGCTAGAGATGTGTTGACAATAAATTACTTATCAGTCAGACGGGAACCATTAGAACATTGTTTCTTATTGTTCTGGTCTAATAGCGTGTATGTATATGTATATATATATATATATATATATATATATATATATATATATATATATATATATATATTTTATATATATATACGGAGAAAAGAAAGAGTAAAGAAAATCAGACAGAGAGAGAGAGACAGAGAGACAGAGAGAGAGAGAGAGTCAGTGAGTAATAGTGAGAAAAAATAGAAAGTGAAAAGAAACTTGAGAGAAAAGAGATAGAGAAAAGAGAGAGAGAGAGTAGTGGAAGAGTGATAGAGAGAATAGAATGAAAGAGAGTGGGAACAGAGAGAGAGAGAGAGTAGTCGACGAGTGAAAGAGAGATAATATAATGAAAGTGAGAGAGAAAAAGTCGGCAAGTTACACTAAATGAGTTAATGAGTAAATGAGTGAGTGAGTGAGTAGGAGTAAAAAAAAAAAAAGATAGAAGACGGAGAGAGGGAGATAGAGATCTAGAAAGAGACTAAGTGAGTGACTGAAAGGGAGGAAGACGTAAATAATCATTGGAGGCAATGAGTGCAATAATCCAGACAGCAACGATTCTCTGTCTTCTCCATCTACTTTGGACAGTAAAATAGATAATACTGAGCGCCTGAGTTATCTTTTGCAGACAAGACAGCTAGAGTATAACAGTTAGAGTATAACAAACAGACATTAGTATTTGACAGTTCACACGACAGAAGACAGAAATACTTATAGCCAGGAATCACTCGGGATTCTGCGGCTGTCTCGTTTAGACTTGTTTGCTTGTAGACTACACAATTTGACGAGTCATGAACTTTACTAATTTAGCTTTTTTCTTCGACAGGGAGCCGAGATAGAGTAGACACCCGACGTCACATGTCGTCCAATCAAGGACCATTTTGATACCAGAATTTTGTCATCATCATCAGTTCCTTGCAAAGTGGCATAAGCAATCATGCCTCTCCACTATTTATTACATTCGGCAGCATGTATCATTACCTGTGTTGACCCTCGTCCGTGCCACGACAAAACGCTGTCAAGAATCGTCTAACGTTGTCTTCCTCTGTCTCTTTTGTACCGATCTTTTCAATGGTCACGAAATGTTCCAGTTGCCCTCTTCTCATAACAGTGTCTCTGTCGCGCGCCCACGTGGGTAAATACACTGATATAGTGAGGGTGTGGGTTTGAACCTTAACAATGCCCACCCACGTGAGAAACTGGACTATTATCTAAGCTATGTTGATCCTAGACAGTCATGGTTAGCCAAGAAAACAGCGAGTGGCTCGTTCCATGAAATGAAAGTTGCTGTACTTGTATCCACAGGAGTAGGAGAAGGGATAGATAGATATCAGGATACACCCACTGTGATATTATCTCGATACACAATTAACCTCTGCGACTATTCTCCTCTCCTGTCATTATTTAAAAGCCCCCATCAAGTGATTTAAATATTTGTTAGCTGAAGTAAACTAATATGCACCAAGACACTTGAACCTAAGTACACAATTTACTCAACTCTATTGTAACAACATCAAAAAGATTTATTTAATAAATCTGACTAAAATAAAATGAACTTGTTTAGGCTAGTAAAGTTTAGGTGATGTGAATGATGAAATCATAAAGGTATTGGAAAGTAACAACCTTTGGACAGTTCTCGGCTTGAGACCCTGTCTATTCTTTCCCAGTTTGTCGTCCTCACTGCTTCAAGCAGGTCGTTACACTCAGACGGTCAGCAATGAATGGATGCTTACTAGTCCCTGCCCAATGTGGGAACTGGAGAATGAAGAAACACGCGCATATTTGTAGTATCTGCTCTAGATGTATACTAAGCATGTATATTATAATAACATCAAGCATGTTTATTTAAATAAAACATTTTATCTCTACCTCATGCTCACATTCACTCCTGTCCAATTTGGAAGGGCTTATGTCTCACATTCCAACTGTTACATCTTCTGCCTTCCTCTACACGTCCTGTAATGATAGTCAAGTCTTCTACGTCAGGTGCCATCTCTCGTACAGACTCAAAATGACAATCAGTCAGACAGAACCAGTTCTGGAATCTATGCTTGGAACAATCGACGCGCCCAGAAAGCTAACAATATTTCTGAGGCGAATTGAATAAGAAATCTCAGGGATTTACTCTCCGGGATCAATCTCCGCATTAGCCTCCCGAGAGTTAAACACATTTCAGTGTGTTAGCTGTATGTAATACAGATTCACATTAACCACACGTGACAAGATTGCCAAAGTTATCTTCACGCTTGTGATTTCAAAAACATGATAGTTCATTAAATTTCAATGGTAACATCAACATTTAAGTTTTACAACATTGAAACACATGTGCACGAAAGAACATTAATGACACTATCAAATAGGATATAAAGCAATGTGACAGTGCCCTACGAGAATGAAGAAATGTCCGCCTAGGAGTACTACAAAGTGATGAAGACACACACTTGAGTAAAAAGACAGTTAGATTTTTATCACAAAATATAGATTTGAACCTAATTTCGATCTTACCTGGAAAATGAAACCACGATGCCAAAAGTTCTGTCTCAAGCTTAGGTTAAGCCCAACAGATGGCATGTGCTGGACAGGATCTCATTTACCAGACCTAGAGTTCACCCCTTTATAACTTTTATCAAGCTCCTCCTACATTACGCCTAAAATCATTCTCATTCAAGGATATCACAGCTCCTCCCTGTGGGTAAGTTTATTCGCTGTCAGTCAGGGCTGTACAACACTTGTTTAAATTCCCACGGTCACCTTCTACAGGTTCAATTAAGCTGGTCAAAGCTAATAGGCCAAGTCACACCTCCAGTCTACTTCACCTGTCATCACAATAAAATCAGACTTTGTCAATTCTTCTGCCAACACTTTCGGCTCACTGTGTCAATATTGACGATCTGACCGGCACTCCAGTTTAGGTAACCTCAGGGGGAATTAGGCACAATTAGCCGGAGTTATCTACTCCTGAAGGTCTGGCTAGGAGATAAATATCTGACACCAACGAATGGTGTGCAAATCTGCAGTCAGTAAGTCTGCTTGGTCAGTCTTATCTCTGTACCTTAACACTTAACATCTGGGGAAAAGTTTTAGTGTTTGATATGATCAACGGTCCAGGAGAATTAAAGGTTTGATGTGGTCGTCTTACTTAGATTAAGGATGTATCCAAGTCCCTATTTTCCTGTATACTTTCAAAATACAAAGAAATAAAAGTAGGTTGAGGAAAGACTTTCTGGAGTCACCGAGCGTATTGTCACAGTCTCTTTCACATGTTTGTGATAATATTTTTTTAGAGCCCTCGCCTCTATCATAACATCTGGAATGCTCGTTTTGGCTGTCCAGCGAATTCTTTCTTATGTAGTCTGGTCTGGTAGTATTAGTTTCAGGTTCATAGCAAACGGGTGACCCCATAGTTGCTCCGCTCCTGTGTCAACGAAAAACACATAGAATGTTTATCACAGTCCCTTATGGAAAGATTGACATACTGCTGTCGCAGTATATCTAGCATACACACGCATTAAAGCATACGGTAGCCATCCGAAGTGCTAACACAAACTGTCCGACATTAGAAATGCAGTTTATCATTGATGGTAGCAGAAGTCGCCGACAGATCAGCAGTTGCACACGCGATCAATTTTAATCACACACGGGAACCACCAACATTTCGACGACAGGAACCGCGCCATTTTCTGAATCTACAATTCACACCACTAAGTTTTTTTCACAGTCGAAAAAAACAAACATTTCAAATTAAATTCGTAGCCCCCAGTGTCACGCCATGCATTCAACTGAGATTCTGGGCGACGAAACTATGTCCAGTCTACAAATGGAGCAAAACTGCAACGGCCACCGTCCGGTAGAAGCAAAAAAATTGCCTCGGCTCCAAACAGTGCCCCTGCCTAGCGTCCATGTTGACCGGAAGTCTGAAAGGTTTTCTTAGTGATTCTACCAGCTTCACTTAGGCTAAAAATAGACCAGATACTGTTATGGGAGGTAAAGACTTCCGGATGATGTTGACCACATAACCCAATGAGTGTGATTGGTCCATAAAAATATAAGGCTTGAACTAAAAATCTTATCATTTTTTATAATTATGTTTTGTCCAGATTTACAGATGCAAATCACGGAAACCCTGTTCAACTTGTATAGCCTTACAGCACAGTTATATTGAGGCACCATAAAACGGTTCCGAAGTAATCCGTAGTCCTGTGCGGATCGGTGATGTTGGTCATATTATGATGCCCGATCATTATCGAAGGCGAGACAACATAACGTCAACACCACTGAAGTGAGATGTCTGAGGAAAGCCGCCAATTTAACCATCAGAAGCAAATAGAGAAAAGACACCATCAGACAGACTGTGGCAACAAAATCATGGTCCAAATTAAAAGAGAAACAGAAGATGAAATGGTTTGGTCATCTCTTTTAGATGCAGCCAAAACTGCCAAAGACACACAAAAAGATCTTATGTGGAGGCAAGAGGCAGCCATAGAAAATAATGGACTGATGATATTGAAGACGTTTTCCTCACATCGCTCAATGGTGAAAGTAGAAGTTGATAGTGAAGATGATGACTAAATGTCGTAGGTGCCATCAAT